GGGGTGAATTCATCAAAATTACGAACCCTGAATTATTTTTTACATTTTTTATTTTCCAATAAGCAAATTAGACGAATAATGAAATTTTTTCGATAAAACCGTAAAGTTCAAAATGACAGGATACGAAAAACTATTGTTCATAGAAAAGATAAGCGAATCTTTTACTTAATTTATCGTTGTAGCAAATATTTTGGAAAAAGTTTCACGAAGTTATAATAATAAGTAATTTAACATTTATTCAGCTGAAGCTTTACAAAAAATCTACATATTTTGAACTGTCAATTTTTAATTACATACCTATCTCATCATTTAAAATATACTTTCTAAGATCACGCTTAAATATCTTAATTCTAGAACTAGTTTTCAATATATTTGGTAAATTATTGAAAGCATACGTCATAGTATATGCTATTTTCAGGTTTACAGAGCTTACAACTTTGGATATAAAAACTATCAGTATTTCTAGTATTATACCCATGCACATCACTGAAATATATTACATTTTTATTACATTACATGGAAGCAACTTATATTTTAAATATGAATACAGATGAAGCTGAGATTATTCTTTGTTTAACGGACATTAGTTCCGAAGTTATAAACAAAAAACCAAACCAAAAAGTTATAAGTTATGTACCACCAAATTCATAACAATTGTTGAAATTTTTGTCTGAATACTTTTAAGAATAATTCAAAAATGTCTATAATGTTACGAATTCAGCAAAACATATATAATATCAAACATTATCAGCAAATCAATTCCGAATTATGGACAGAAAAAAATTGACTCTGGAAATCTGAACTCGAAATTCAAAATGAATTCACTTATTACTGGCATCACAGTTTTTCATTCGAAAGGGGTGAATTCATTGAAATTACCTGAAATATTTTTTGCATTTTGCAGAGATATTTTTCCGATACGCAAATTACACGAATAATGAAATTTTTTCAACCAAACCGGAAAGTTGAAGTTGACAGGATACAGAAAACTATTTTTCATGGAAAAGACAAGCGAATCTTTTTTACTTAATTTATCGTTGTAGCAGATATTTCGGAAAAAGTTTCACGAACTTATAAGTTATGTCCCATCAAATTCGAATATATTTTATTCCTAGTCTAGGTTTAGCTCTTTTTGTATGAAATATATACGAAAATAAATATTCCAGCATATATACAGGGCTACCGGAAGGCCGAGTTGAAAAAAGGTTGAAAATTTAGCTATATAGAGAAAATTATACAAATTATTCAGAAGAATATAAAAAAATATAGGTGTAGAGAATATACCTCAAATGTGTTCACAAGATATTTCAAAAGTAATACCTCTCTCTTTTTTAACACTGAAAATAATTAATATGATAACATTAATATGAATAGTTTTATATTGACAATTAATCAATATTGAGCGTTTAAACTTTTTTTCCTAAACTTTAGAATATTTGGGCGATTTATACTGAAAAATCTCAGTAGGAACAATTTTTGTTCCTCTCAAAATTAGGTACTCGACTTGATTATAAGAAAAAATTATGAAGTAGGTATTTTTAAAACCACCTAGAAATTACAAATTCATTACTTCTGAATTATTATACTTCTAAATAATTACTACTGAAGCTTCTCTACCAATTGTAGCTTTGTCAAAACTTTGAAATAAAGAAAATTCTCTTCCAAAGAAGAAATTATAAATTTTAACTAGAAGAAATAGCCTAAAATTTTGAAACCCAGCAACGCATTATTTTTTTATACATATACAATTCTCGAGAAATACATGAAATACATTGAGTCGGTTTAATTGGTAATGGCTTGTGATATTTACTGAAAAATAAGGTTCAGCGATCGCCGGTGTTTTCTTATCTTAACGTATGTATCATATGACAGGTCAATACCAGCACACGAGTAGTTTATGAATTAACATAAGAGGTACTTGAATGAACGTTGAATTAGATTTTAAAGACATCATGTCTTGAATAGTAATGGATGTTAAAATTATTCGTTTAACCAAAAAGGTTCAGCTTCTTCTATAAATAAAATTTCAAATTACATGCAATATTCTCCGTATTACCCAATAAAAACATAGGTTAATTAGAAATTGATTTCTACAAAATTCAACAAAATCACCTGAAAAAATTATTCTTCAATTCAAAATTATGCCGATAATTTTAGACAAGCAAAATGCTTCAATAATTTTTTAAATTAAGACACTTGGCTCAAGTTTCACTAAATATATTGAAAACTCTACATATGTTTCGGGTGGTTAACCCATTACCAAGAGTGTACAATATTACTGAGTAATAATTTTTGTTCTCTGACTTCAGAATTTTTAGTTTAGAATTTGGACTTGTTATACCATTATATATAATTTCTTAGATTTTTATCATGTATTAGTTTTTAATTTTGATTATTTAAATTATATTTTCCGGTGAATATACACAAACGCTCCTAAAAGTCCTACCTTCTGGAATCAGCTCCTGAAGTTCTTTGCAGAATATATACAAACGAAGAGAATATTCTAATAATATTAAAATCAGTAACAACTCAACACCGCACGTTAGATAAGCGCGCTTCCATAAAAAGTTTAAAAGTGTATAAAAGTTGTCGGAAGTGATAGACAATCTTCTGATCAAACTTCCATCCAAAGGTCTATTAACATGTTACAATTATAATTGAAGAAAAATCAAATTGTTATCGCCAAAGCGTATCGCGAAAGCTTCGAAATGAGCGCGTCGGAAAGTCTAGTTGATACCGCGAAGAAGCTAGACCCGATGATACTGCCTGAAAACGGAAGACATGTTTTCAGCGACATTTTGCGGAGTTCTGCAACGAACGATCACAGCCGTAGCTCATGAAAACAGAAGAGTATTTATTTCTCTACGTGAAGTAGCGGAGTTTATTCTGGTTGTGTTAATTTCACTTGTATATTGGGACACCGAATTCCGAATCGGGAGTTTGGAGTGACAATGAAAATATATAATCCCGCCAGCTGCACTAAATGATACTTCGTTTGTATATGTAAATTTGTATAAGGAAATGAAGTTTTTGTGCTTGTGGCACTAAATGAAATATATAAGAAAATGAACACTAAAACATTCATTCGAAAAATTTATTTATTTATTTTTTCATTTATTTTATTTATTTTTTTACAGATGCTTGGTGTGTCTGTAATCTGAGAGATATTTTCTACTGATTCCTATAGATGGAATTGTGGAGTATTCATCACCCTACAGGTATTCCACTTGGAGTCATAAAAGGTGCTTGGGAATTAAAATCGTTGCCTCACTTCGATGGACGTTGTACTACTGACGAGTTCCTTGCAGAACGAAACATGTCTCGCACTTCCATGAGGTGTAGCATCGATTGCAATATTTCTCTAACATTTATCCCTTGAAGGATAATGGAGGCATCCCATCGTACAAGATGTGATGCCATATCTAGCTCTACTATAACTTTATATTCTTTTGTTTAATTTGAATTTATCAAATGAATGCTCGAGTGTTCATTTTCTTTATATATATATATATATATATATATATATATATATATATATATATATATATATATATATATTAAAAACAAGGTTTGTCAGGCTGGAAATGAAGTTAAGAGTTTACGGTATTTACCTGAGATTTACGTTGTTTGTTTATTAGTAACAGCCGTTTACATATGTTTCAAGCTAATTGGCTCTCATCAGAACGGCGTAGTTCAAGTTATTAGATGCTACACACTTGAAAGTTGATTAAAAAGGAAAAACTGAGAACAAAACAACACAAAATTCCACGTGAGGAATCTACATCATTTTTGGTTAAATCGAATATCTTGACCAAGCTTGTTAAAGCTATATTTTCAGACTGAATCGATGTCAACCTGCGATGAGATATTTATACCTTCTAGAATTTTGTACCGACAATATTATAAATTAAAAACAAGGTTTGTCAGGCTGGAAATGAAGTTAAGAGTTTACGGTATTTACCTGAGATTTACGTTGTTTGTTTATTTGTAACAGCCGTTTACATATGTTTCAAGCTAATTGGCTCTCATCAGAACGGCGTAGTTCAAGTTATTAGATGCTACACACTTGAAAGTTGATTAAAAAGGAAAAACACAGAACAAAACAACACAAAATTCCACGTGAGGAATCTACATTCAGTCTGAAAATATAGCTTTAACAAGCTCGGTCAAGATATTCGATTCAACCAAAAATGATGTAGATTCCTCACGTGGAATTTTGTGTTGTTTTGTTCTGTGTTTTTCCTTTTTAATCAACTTTCAAGTGTGTAGCATCTAATAACTTGAACTACGCCGTTCTGATGAGAGCCAATTAGCTTGAAACATATGTAAACGGCTGTTACAAATAAACAAACAACGTAAATCTCAGGTAAATACCGTAAACTCTTAACTATATATATATATATATATATATATATATATATATATATATATATATATATATATATATATATATATATATATATTTATATATTCAAAATTCAAGAAACAAATGTACTTTTGGACTAACTTCACAGAAATTGTAAGAAAAATTTTCGATAGTGCCTTGTAATCAGTGAATTGAAATAACTGATTTTGTCAGTATTTTGAATAACAAAACAGTTCGTAATTATTCGAGGAAACAGAAAAAGTTGTAACAGAAGGAAATTGTAAGGAAATGAAGAAAAATTGAAAAATAAAAGTTAACACATTTTCTTTTCATTTTATCGAATTCAAAAATGGTTTAACTGATTCAGGATATATGAGAGATAGTTTAAAGGTACATATTGTGCATTTTATAATTTATTGGTGAAAGAAATTATACAAAACTTGATCAGAATTGTTAACTCATAAGAGAAAAATATTTCCTTGGCGATGTCGTACAGATTTTGTCGTATGAGTTGAGTAAATTTGGAGTTTCTTCGTGCATTTTTCCAGTTACCTATAATTAAAATAAATAACATACTCAAAAACATATTCATTCAAGTTTACATTTCATTAAAAATTATAACTGATTTTTGCCGGTCTCCGTAGTTTGGTCGGAAGAACACCGGACTAATGTGCGGTGGAACTCGGGTTCGAGCCCCGCTGAAGGCATGGGTGTTTGTGTTTGTCTATGATTAAAGTAGTTTAAATAATAATAATATATGCTGAGTAATGTACATTGATTACAAGCCCATTGGAAGTTCGGAACCGACGTTTAGTAGGTCCACTGAATTAAAAAAAAAATAACTGATTTTGTTATAAAGAAAAACATTTTGTAAAGAAACATATACCACCAATCAATTCGGTAATGTCCAATTCCTAAGATCTCGTTATTTGTAAGAAACTAATGAAAATGTTTTGGTCGAAAGCAATCATAATAAAAGTGAAACATACGTAAAAACTGTAGAATAAAAGAGGGTAAATTTAGTGAACAGTGCTTTTTTACCTTTTAATTTTGAAAAATAGCGAAGTGAAAATAAATACGTCTCTATTTATGATCGAATGAATGACGAACAGGAATAATTACACTATCTGACAGGTGTAAGGCAGAAACCAAGGAATCTTCGAAAAATAACAAGGTTAAACTTTCTATCAATTTTTTCCTAGAACTTGGAAAATTCACTCAAATTAACTCTAAACTCCTCAATTCAGCCAGATCTTTATTCACATTATGATGAATCATTACGAACATAACCATAAATAAAAAAAGTTTCAAAGATATGACTCCTACATTATTTACACATCGAAGAGTCAGTAGTCTCCATAATTTTAGTTTATGATCGGTTTCGTTAGAACAAATAATAAAATAGTTAGATAAAGTCATAAAATTATATTCGAAATGGCTTTAGGAAGCAATAATTTTAATGGTAAACTGAAATATCAAAATATATATTTGTTTTCAATTCATCATATTCGTTAGACTTAAACAATCATGTCTTTTTCAATCCTTCGTATTTTATGTAGATATCCAGACAATTTAAATTGAAGTTCCAGTTATTCAAGAGTCTTCACACAGTTTTCATGAATATAAATAAATATAGATAAAAATAAAATTTTTATATATATAATCTATTATATTTATATATAATAGATGAGTTCTCGGCAAAAGTAGGGCCACTATAATTGATACACAACCAATTTATTAACCTTGTCTATATTTCGAAAATGTTTTTATTCTTCATCAGGACTCTGAAAATCAATTATAGTGGCCCTACTTTTGCCGAGAACTCATCATCTTTTACTAATTAATATAATACGGCAATACTCCTTATATTATCGTATATATATATATATATATATATATATATATATATATATATATATATATATATATATATATTCAAGAAAATGAACACTAGAACATTCATTTGAAAAATTGAAATTAATCAAGGGAATGTTATAGCTTCGATGGACGTGGTGCGACTGACGAGTTCCTTGCAGAACGAAACATATATGTCTCGCACTTCCATCAGGTGTGGCATCGATTTCAATATTTCTCTAACATTTGTCTCTTGAAGGATAATGGAGACATCACATCGTACACGTTCACATATCTAGCTCTGCTATAACATTCTCTTGATTAATTTCAATTTTTCAAATGAATGTTCTAGTGTTTATTTTCTTGAATATTTCATTCAGTGCCATAAGCACAAAAAATTTCATTTCCTTATATATATATATATATATATATATATATATATATATATATATATATATATATATTTCAATGTTTTTAGCAAGAACAGGCTTATTTAAATGTTAAAATCTTTGACGTTTCGTTGTATACCACAACTTTGTCAAAACTAATGAATAATTGAATTTTATGAATTACTATAGATATCAAAACGCCAAAATAAAAAATATATAAAATAAAATGAATATAGTCCTATATAAAGCTCAACTATGTGTTATTATATGTATGTATATAATTATTTATATATCAATCACACTCATAAGAATCATCTGGCTTACCATGAGTTTTTCATAGGTTTCCTCATGGTGAAGAAGACTAAAACTTCCGAAGCAAATGCTAAGCCAGAAATATTCCTCTGAATACTGAAAATGAAAAATAAAGAACTAAGTCAAAATAAAAAAAGCCAATTTAATTTTTTTCAAAAAAATAAGTTTGACGTTTTGATATCTATAGTAATTCATAAACTTCAATTATTCATTAGTTTCGACGAAGTTGTGATATACAACGAAACGTCAACGAAAATAAAGTTGTTAACATTTAAATAAGCCTGTTATTGCTAAAAATATCAAAAATAAACTTAAAAAAAAATATATATATATATATATATATATATATATATATATATATATATATATATATATATATATATATATATATATATATATATATATATATATATATATAAATATAGTATATATCTATATATTAAGAGGCAAGTCGGTCGAGAATTGTTAAATAAATCAGAAGTTTCATTGATGTTTATTTTTTCGAAATGTTAACAAAACATACTAATTGGCATTAATCAGTGTTCAACGCATTGAAAAATAGGAAACTGATTTCAGTGGAAAGTAAATAACGAACCTTGCCAAAGAGTTGATTCCGTAAAAATATTTAATCGTTAGTTGTGTACACATGTAAGTCAATCAACGAAACTGAAATATTTGAATAAAATATCATCTGCAAGCTGGTTAAAGCGAATGCTGTTAAGAAATCAACTCAAAAATAAAATACGTATGAGGTTTGAGAGCAATGGAATGTAAATGTGACTGACCTATTTTCTAGGCTTCCAAACTCCATTGAAAAAATATTAGAAAGTATATATCCCGAAGTTATATCCCATTTATCCTTCAAGGTTCTCTAATCTGTTGAGTATTTTAACAGAAAATCGTTTTTTATGGCAATAAAAGTTAGCAGAAATTGAAATATTTCTAATATATTTGAAAAAATTTCACGTGAATATTTTGAAAATAATAGCTTTGTTGAAACGATAGAAGAAATAGTTTTCTCCGATTCTCAGTATTCAAGCCAATAAAGAATTGTGAAAATTATCCCTAAGGAAGTTTTGACAAAACTGCAGTTTTAGGGATATTGACAAAAATTTAATTTTTGTGAAGATGTAAGATGTATATAAAATGTAAGATATTAAAAAATAAGGATCATCTATTCACAACGCACTGGTTTCTTTCAATCAGAAGCAATATCATTTCAAACTAAATATGTATATATTTCATAAGCGTTTGAAATTGATCCTCATCGACTTCCAAATACTCATCAAATAATTTACTTTCACTCTCAATTCAGTATGAAAAGGTGAAACCGAATTGCTTTCGATCAATTCATTAGATTAATTCGAAGGATTTCATGAATAATTTTCGAGTTATAGGTAAACTGAACATGAAATATCATTTAAGAATGAAAAATTATAATACGTTTTAAGAATATCAATTATACAAATTTCGACATCAAAACTAGCCATGATGTTCAATAATACATATTGAATGGATCAGTAAAGATCTTTCTATTAGATATACAACCTATTAAGATGATTTGTGATAATTCAGGACAGTGTTTCAGTAATGTTTGAATATGTACTAGTGTTTGAGAAAGCTATTCTGAATTGTTTTAACTGTTAAAGTGGTTATGCTAAACATAGTTGTCGTTATATTTTACGATTCAGGCTTCTTGTTTTCTATCGTAACAGTTAATTATAATTTGATTTTTCAAGTGGATTTAGTAAGTTTCAAATTGGTTACTTGCGCAGTTCTGATCAAATCAAATTGGCATCTAAACATTAGGTTAAAAAATTATTTGTAAAGTTACTCTATATAAAGCTGTCACAAAATAATGCAAGATTTGAATTGAATAGAAAACAGTTTTTAGTCTTTTGGCTGTAAATTTTTCTTTGAATCATAAAGTGCACAGAATAAGGTAATACAGCATAGTAGAAATGGCCTCCACGGGTTTGCACACACATATGAACTCGTTTGTCGAAATTTTCATGAATATTCTGCATGAATGTGGCTGTATTTCGTTGATGCATCGTTCTACTCCTTTAATGTTCGAGTATTCGGGGGCTTTTTGTCATAAACGCGTGATTTCAAATAGCACCATAAAAAGATCTACTATGCTGTTCGAATTAATTGGGACAAAAGATAAAAAACAATGCTTTCGTAGAATCTTACCTTTTATTGAAGTTAAATACATACAAAATTGCGTAAATTCTTCATTTCAATATGAAGTATGTCCTCCTTTTGCAGAAATAACTTCTTGAACTCGTTGAGGCATCGACTCCTTGTAGCGTAGCGCAGATTGTCTTCAATTCGTCATCATGAAACCACACCTGAATTGCACTTATAATCATTTTTTCTTCTGTAGTGCAAACCATTTTTGCCAGTCGTTTCTTTAAAATATTTCATAAATTCTCAATGAGATTGAGATCAGGCGAATTCCCCGGCCAATCGAGTACTTTTATTTCATTCTCACGCATAAAAGCCTGCACTTTTCTGGAACTGCGGCAGGGAGCCAGGTCGGGTTGAAATGTTTCATCAAACGTTCCATGAATGGGACAATCCTGGTGCGCAATATTTCCATATATTTCACTGAATTCATCATCCCTGTTATAGGAGCTAATAGTTTAGTGCCATTGGTTGTGAAAAAACCCCAAAACATTGGTTTCGAAGGATGTTTTACTGTTTGCTAGATGTGATCAAGCCGCAAAGTTTCCCCATCACTTCGTCTAACAACACTTGATTTGTACCCTTGAACAAACAAATGTGTCTCATCACTAAAAACCACCTTCTTCCATCCAGTCGTCCACAATCCACGCACGGTACTTTTTGGCTCATGCCAAACGTTTCTTCGTCATTTTCTGGGTAAGCAGTTGCTTTCTTCTTGGTCTTCTTGCCTTGCGGTCAAGCTCCAGCAGTCGTTTTCGCACAGTTGAGGTGCTCACCTCCTCACCAAAAACCATTATATCCCTTCGAAGATCAGTACTTGTCTTTCCCGGAATAATTTTGCTCTTTCTTTTCAACAATTTGTCTGTTCTTGGAGTAGTTTTGCGTTTGCAGCCACAGTTTTCTTTTCTTTTTGGAGACGATGAGCCACTTTCTTCAAATGTTTTCAAAATTCTCGAAACAGC